ACAAAAGGATGACCTCCTCCTGTTCTCTGGGGAAGCTGAAAAATCAGGGCTTTAGAAAGATCAATCAAGCCATCTGACTATGCGACAACGTGGAGGAGAAGCCCACAGGCTGTATTTGGAGGCAGAAAACCTAACTGACTGCCCCTTCTGGGCCAGCCACTGTTTAACTTTGTCCCCTGTGCAAGTCACCCAACTTCAGTGTCAAGATAATATTTATTGTGCTTCACTTGGTTCTGGGCAGAATCAGATGAGGTGGAGGCAGGAAAAGTGCTTTGTACACATGCAAGGTATTTCCAGTATTTCTCGTGATGGATGGTAAGCGTTAAAAGATACTTATTACAATGTACACAGCCTGGAAGCAACCTGTCTGGATATGTGTACAAACATTCCCCAACTGATTCAAGGGGGAAAAAAATTCAGGGATTGCTTAACAATGCCACATGTCACATATTTAGAAACGCCTGCCTGTTTACCTTCCATTCCTCCAACTGGTGCTGTTGAAGCAGTTTCCTGAGAATCAGGTTAAGCGAGGCCTAAGCTTGGGGCCATGTTTGCTCTCTGGAAACGCTCAAGTGTGACATACTTTCAGTTTGCTCTGGGTCTGACAGTGTACCAGTTCTGTGCGCAAGTCCCGCCACCGAGTAAACGCCTGTGCATTAACTGAAACCAGTACAGCCAGTGTAATTATAGACCAGCCGAGTGGCGAGACGCTCCCTTAAACATTTCCGAAACCAGGCCTTCAGACGAGATCACAGTGACGCCAGCCATGCACCAATTCCCCACGGCCATTTCCTACGGAGACACAGATGAATCCACCTCCAATTAGAGGGACAAAGATGGTAGACAACCATTAGGGCTTTACTTTTAACTCCTTTAATTGTAAAACATACGAGGCCTGCCCTTTAGCTCTCACTGGATATCACAAATATTGAAAATGTTGCACGGGGGCTGAGGCAGTGGATTAAGTGTTACAGAGACCAAACGCATCAGGCGTTTCTCTTGGGTAACATTCTGGGCTCCAAGAACCTCCGAGTGGGAGTGAGTCAGACCCACATCCAAGTAGATAACAGTTCAAATCACCCTCTCAGCACAATTCTTCCGGGCATCCTCTTCCGTCCTTGAGAAAGGAGCCTGGTTCTTCTTCCTCCCCCTCACCCCAGGGCCCGGGGTCCTGGGCTGCCCGGTGACAGTAACACCCAAATCGCACTGTCTTCTGGGCTGCTCAGGCCCCTGTGGCTGTGGCCAGGCATGTGGGCTGAGGCGAGAGTGGAGCTCCAGTAATGCACTCATGGCTTATAAAAGAGTTGAGAGGCCAGTGACTTCAGGAGGAATCCTTGTTGCCTCCTAAGGCTGCTAGGGAATTATCCTTGCCTCCAAGTCAGCTCCAGCTAGGATCACGAGTATTAAAAAAAAAAAAAAAAAAAAAGACAGCAGAATTCTTCTTTCCTGGGTATTTGGCACTAAGACTGAAGTGTGGACGGGGGAATTAATACGATGATGCTCGCCATTTGAAACCTTCCACAGACTCCCTCTGACCAGGCTTTGCCCCTTCCCTTGCTGCAGCTCCCCCACCCTCTGGAGCTCAGCCATATCTGCATCTCCCGCCATGCCCTGCACGTGCCTTGCCGGCCCCATCTCTGAGCTTTTGCAAGTTATGTTCCCGCTGGATAGAATAACTTCTCTCTCACAGAAATTCCTCCCATGTGGGCCCAGGTCAAATGCTCATCCTCCAAGAAGTCTTCCTCGATTACTAGAAGCAATATCTCCTTCCTCTCGCCACAAATATTATTTTGTTTACAACAGTCATAAGAGCTGGTAATGAGATGACTTACTGAGCATATCCTATGGGACTGGTATCAAGGGAAGCACTTTATACATTTTATTTCATTTGATCCTACAATGACCTCCATGTGAACACGCAATTATTATTATTCTGTTTTGCAGACGAGAAAACAGGCTGAGGAAGGTGAAGGGTAGTGGGGGCAGGGGGCTTGGGCTAGGCAGTGTGACTCCAGAGCTCGCACACTCTACTGCATGCTGCCTTCCACTGACGATCTGTGCACATGACCCATCTGCTCTATGAATTCCTGAGGTCGTGCATCTTTGGATACCCCAGTACATTAACTCAGGGCCTGGCTAAAAGTGGGGGCTTGAATTTGAGCAAAAATACTTTGGTGTTGTTGACGAAAATAATCCATAACCAATCTATAAATGAAAATTTGGGTGAGTTTATTCTGAGCTGAAATCTGAGGACCATGGCCCGGGGCCTTTCTTTCCGAAGGAAGAAAGGGCACCAAAGAAGTGAGGTGTACAGAGTGGTTATATACCCCCATGCAGGACGTTTCACGTATGATTGAAATGTCCCTCCCACAATAGTCACATGATTGCCCTGTCAGCACAGCGCTTGATGGACACAGCAGGTAGTGGGTCTGCTCGCTTGGAGGGCGTAGCAAGAGGCAAGTCTATTGTCTGGAGCTGGGTGGTCACAGGTGAGCGCAGCAATCAGTTTCTAGCCTAAGGAAAGATGCTTAATCCTTAAGGAGATGGCGACGTTGGGGGGGGGGGGAGGGAAGTTGCACCTTTATCTCAAGGGCCTTCGTTCTTGCCATAGGGAATATCTAAAGCATATATACAATGCATGCTCAACGTCCTCGGTCAGGCCCTTTTTGAAAGACAAGGTCAGGCCGAATTACGTTTATTCCAAATGGCTTCCTCATATTCTCCAATATATCCTATTGCTTGCCATTTTTATTTGTCAGTGTTGATACCTGCTCAACACAAGGTTCACATAAGGGAAGCCATATTGTAGAAAAGAAATCATATTGTAACTGTAAATGACCTCTGACTAACTAGCCCAGACCTGTTCCGTAGATTTTGTGGCCCTTCTCAGCTGCTTTAAGATGGTAACTTTCTTCTTTTGAGCTCCTCAGGAATGTGATGACCCCGGGGCAGAGAGCCTATGCAGACAGCCATCATCAATGACAACTGAAAGCTCAGGGTGTAGGGCAGCTGCTCCATTCTCTGACGCATATCCAGTAAAACAAAGGACTACCAGGAACTGGGACCAGATGTCTGCCCCACCCAGAGACCAAGCCACCTCCCCCACCTGGAGACTGGCCCCATACATAACCGGCCTGTAGTCTCCTGTGAGATGGTTCTTTTGGACATGAGTCACCCATCTTCCATCTTGCTAGCAAGCTATAGGAAAGTCCTTTCTCTCCACCACAGTGCCTCCTGACTACTGGCATGCCTTGCAGCAAGCAGACGAGCCCACTTGGGTGGTAACAGTGTGGATTTATATATCTCTAGACAGACTGCTGTGGCTGATTTTTCCAGGTGTGCTCCGTCTACCCCATCCTTAATCCAGCAAAAGGCTTTAGGACAGGTCAAGAGCAGCCATTTTCACCAGCCTTCCAAAGTCAAGAATCCAAGACCCAGAGAACTGGAGAAATCTGACCCCTGAAACTTTCTAGAAGCATCAAAGGAGCCCACAGGACACGGGCACCATTGTTTCCTAATTTTGGTGACCAAGTATCTGAGACATGAAAGAAGTGCCTCTGTGCACCTCACATGGATCCCTCAGAATGGCGTGTCCTGGGGTGAAGGGGTGTCTTTCTTTTCAGGTAAGTGTGTTATTATAAACTTATGTGTGTTGCAGTCAATGTTTCTTCAGATTCTCTGTTTTCACCTGGAGAAGAATACATTCCTGTTGAGAGAATAAGGCAGCACGGCTCAAAGGTGAAAGCACATGGGCTTTGATGCTAAATGGACTCGTCGGAATGAGCTCTGCAAGGGCGGAGAAGTTGTCCTCAGCCCTCTTAGGGTCTCTGGCTGGGTCTGCAAAGTGAACCGACAAAGACAGATGAACAGCAGAAAAGCAAATACATTTCTTTAATGGACGTATTGCCTGACACAGGAGCCTCCATAAGGAAAGGAACACCCGACGAAGCAGCTGGACCTGAGTATTTTTATGTGCAGTGTGATGAGGAGTGGACAGTCACGCGAGGAGAAACGTGATCGCTTAAGGAGTATGAGAGAAGTATAAATAAAAAGCTTAGCAAGGCCTGTTTGTTAGGATTCCTCTTGGTGTCCCTTTGTCTTTGGAGATAAGGATGTTCCCTTCCTCCAGGTACACGGAGGCCACCTCTCACACGAGGGCTCCACGACCTGTTTCAGGGGACAAGGACGCAGGCGGAGGGAGGTCAGAGTGACCTTCCCACTTCTGCTGTTTTCTCAAACTCCTCCAGCTTAAAATATTCCATATGCCAAGGTACCGTAGTCTGGGGTAGCGTGTCCTGCAGCCCCTCAGTCCCAACTCTGCCCCCACCTTTGTGATGTGCGACAAGTTACTTATTGTGCGTGCCTCCATCTCCTTATCTGATAACGGAGGTAACATCAGCCCCTATTCGTCAGGTGACTGGGATGACAGAATGGGACGCTGCATATAAAATGCTTAGCACAGTGCACTCAATACATTAGCTCTTACTATTTAACAATTGCTATTATTAATATTAATTGCTATGGTTGCTAGTCATGGTTTATAGCTCACAGGAGCAATTTTTGCATCTGAAAAATTTTCTACTGAAGTTCATGGGTTAGCGCTACTCTTTTCTGCTCCACAGAGCTGGAGTGACACCCACACCTCTGAACACAAAGAATAAGGAGGCACAAACTGTAGCGGTGCCGGCCACCAATTAAAGCTGCTTGAAATCCGAGGTTGTGAGCCTCTCCCTTTCCTGCCTCCTCTGGATGTTGCCCTTGGTTCAACTTAAGACTCCTACAGTCCAACTTCTAGGATCCTAGTCAATTTTCCCCAGCCACCTACAACGATGATGCTCAAACTTCAGTGGACATTATAATCACTTAGGGTGTTTAACAAATGCAGATTGTTGGGCCCACAGGGGAGTATGATTTAATGAAGAGCATCCCAGGTGATCCCAATGCCAGAGGTCCTGGGAACCACACTGAAAACAGGGGCACAACTGACACCTTAGAAAGAGTTATCACGCATAGGTTTATTTCCTGCAGCAGAAAAAGATGGAAAAACTTCCTCTAATTCTCTAACTCTACATCTACATTTTTTAAAACTAACGTTCATTTTAAGTCTATTCCTTGGATTCCACAGTAATGGGCATTTCTGTTAGTCATGATTTTTTCTGGTGAGTAGTTTTTAAAGTCTCTCTTAACTCCTTGTTGCTGATGAAGCACTGAACAGTGACTCTATTGTTCCTTCCCAAAGCTGTGTACTGGTCCAGTTTTCTTCACGGCAGGCCAGGATCTTGACATGGTTCTCCTGATTCTGGAACAAGGAGGCCTGAGTCTTATTATTCCTGACAAACTGAGGCTTCCTTTCCAAAGGGCTACAGTCAGAGTGATGTGGGTCATTACGGAGAACAGGATGCAGAACTGGCAGCAGTCTCTGAAGCAGATGGCGCTCACAAACCTAGATCATTAACATCTGGTATGAGATATATCCATGTGACATATATTTTATACATATATATAATCAGTCCTCAAAGGTCGGGAACACAGGGTCTCAGGAGAGAATGCAGTTGTAAATATTGGACCCCCTCCAGGACTGGCCGGTCAGAACATTCCTTTTCCTTGACTCCAGTGAGGTGGCAGCACAGCATTTAAGACCAAGAAAACCACAAACTCTAGGGGCAGACTGCCTGAGTTTCAAATCCAGCTCCTACACTCACTACTGTGTGATCCTGGGCAAGTTACTTAACCTCTCGGTGCCTCAATTTCTTCATCTATAAAATGGGATGTTGTAAAAATAAAGTTGGTTCATGGTAAGTGTTATCATTATTGGATAATAATAATAAATGTTATTATTACTGGATGCTCATGTGACCCAAATCAAGCCAATGACACAGTCTCAGAACTTTTGCTGGAGATGTTTTCTGCTAGAGTTGTGAAGTTGGTAAAAATATAAGCTGAGAACTGCCAGGGGCCACCCGTGGAGAAAGTCTTCCTGAGAGGGAAGCTCCCACAGAGGACAGAGGGCTGAGAGATGGAGAGAATGTCTGGGGTTCACTGCTATTGTTTGAGACCAGAACATAATCACGCCTGGACACCCAGTGTGGGACTTTTCAATGACATGGGCTCTCCCTTTTTTTTGCTTGAGTCGGTAAGAGTCAGTTTCTACCACCCACAAACAAAAGAATTCTGACCTAGCTTTATCAACGTATAATTCACTTACATACCATCCACCCATTTAAAGTGTAAAATCCAATGGTTTTTAGTACATTCACAGAGTTACACAACCATAACTATGATGTAGGATTTTTATCCAAAACTCCTCAGAGATGGCTCACTAGGCACGGGGTGTGGATGGCGGGGGCGACGGGCGTGTGCAAATCTGCTTCCACAGTCACCACAATTTTGAAACTACTTTTAAAGTCGGAATCATTGACTTTTTGATTTGGAAGCGGCTTAAAGCTCAGCACAGCATAATGGAGAAGGAAATGAACTGGTTTTTTTTTTAGGGAAATTAGAAAATCCTCATGATCCCTTACTACTCTACATAATTCTACAGTTTCAGTCGAATGTCCTCATTTTTTATGATAAAGCGAAGGACCTAAGAAGCTAAGCCACCTGCCCAAATTGACAGAAGGACTTACTATTAGACACACTTAAGAATCTGTATTTCTATGTTGTGAGTTTCAAGCAGTTCCTACTTTTCTTGCAGGATTTCATACTCGAGATTCAGGTCAATGTCTGGAAACACTTGGAGGTTAAGAGAGTCTTTACAGTATAATCAAATATTCATTCATTCATTCAAGAAACTCACCGAGAGTAACTGTATTCCCTATATTTATGTTCAATTCCAGTGTCTCTCTCTTTAGACAAGACAGTGTTCTACCTGCGACCGGGAGGAAAAAATACTCCCTTAAAGCAAAATACGAGAGGGAATTTAAAAATTATTGTCTGGCATTTAGTGTGTTAGGTAGATGATAAACTGACAAGTTTCTGTATTTGTGCAATCACCTTGGCTTGCAGGACCAGGAGGTTTAATTACAAAGAACTGCTGGGGATAAGGAGGGATGACAGTTAAGGAAACAACCCTACTCTTCATCTAATAAAAATAAAGAGATTTGACAACCAACCTGGAAATTTAAAATAACTTCACTTAAAATAATGGCCCGAGGCTTCAGATGATTTAGCAAAGACATAAAGAACCCTTTAGCTCTTACTAATTACATCTGTGTCTTGGGCACATGAGAACTCTCGCCACAGCCTTTGGAAATTTTTAGAAACCCACTTCCTGCAAGAACCCGAGAGGTTTGGATCTGGCCAACAAAATGTAACCCTGGCTGGGGCAGGCTGCATTGTCCTTAGCCGTGTTCAAGGACAGAAAGGCATCTGCTCTATCAAGGATATCCTGTGAAAACACATTCAGAACACCCGCATCAGCAGGAATAATTAATTGGTGGTCATCGTTGTTTTCAATGCGTATTTTTGCAAATTCTAGGCAACATAATTTGAACTCTGTAAAAGAGCATTGGATGTTTTATTTAAAATACAAGCAAGAGGTGATTGAATTTTTAAACTGAGTTCAGTGGTGAGGTCCTTGGATGGACCTAAGGTTCATCTCTACAGCCCAGAATCTCCAGGGAGGCAGGCAAATGAACATCATCATCATCAACATGATCATCAAATGATGATGATCGCCCTCCCTTACAGTTCTGACAGCCCAATGCCCCAAACCCTTCCACTCTGTCCTCAGAATCCACAGTCCATCACCAGCACAGTCCTCTAGCCCCAAACTTTGAACACTGTCTCCACTTTCTTATCCTAACTGAAACCCAGGTCTTCCCTGAGGACACTGGTCCTTCTGCTGTTTTCTCTCCCACTCCCATTGGGCCACAGCCAGCCTCCTTGCCCCTCCTTGTCGATCATCTGCCTTCCTCTCTATACTCACCAACTTTCAAGAGCTATTGTCATCAGACTACACCACAGACTACCTGCCCCTCTTTGCTGCAGTTATCGCTAGAGCCATACCCCTCACCATCACTCTCCTCATTCTTTGAAGAGCTTAGCCCCTGACTCACTGTTACCTTTGCCATCATCATTCATGTGATAAAATACTTGGTGATTCCAAAATCCACAGAGGAGCCTCCCAAACTCCCTGCCTCTATGTTCCTTTCCGTCAAATACCTTGTCCTCCACCCTGCCTCAGCTTCGCCCACAGTCATGCCCTGGACCATGTCACTTCCAAAACCACACTGCCTCCATCCTCCATTTCAAGCATCCCAACCATCACTTCCTTGACTTCCAGCTCACTCCCTTTAGTGCCCTCGCAATCCAAGGAGACCTAGGATGCACCAATGCTACCACCTTTTCACTATTACCGACATTCTCCATATCTTCACTTAACTTCTTAAGCAGTTTATCATCACTCACTTACATATACCCCCAATTCCCTTGCCTTTCCTTCCCTTCATAACATTCCCCCAGCAAAACCTCCGCTTTGGTTAAATCTGACTCTCCACTTACTCTGTGCCTACACTCATGCAGTTCAATGTGGCTGGAGAAAAGCATATACCCACGAGGCTGGTCTCATTTAGGTTCATGACCAGAAACCAAGATTGCCACCTGCTGATCCTACCACACTTCCCTGGTCCATTTACTCTCCCTCCCTCCTAGATGGCTAATTCATACTCTCTTCTCACACCTCTGACACCTCCTCCTCCCCCATCCTCACTCTTGGCTCACATTCTTGTTTTCTACTTCTCTGCAAAAAAGATGGAGCACTCAGGAGAGAACTTCCGTGAGTTGCCACCAGCACGTGGATCCCCCACCTCCATCTGTGCCTTCCCCGCTGCTGCCCGGATCCCGACCCCTCCCTCCTCAAGGGAATCATGCCAGCAATTCTCCCCTCTTTGCTGCAGCATCACACGATCGCTCTCCGTGGATCGTTTCCAACTGCACACAAACATGCTGTTGTTTCCCCCATCCTTAAAAATGCCTCTCTTGACCCCAGTAACCCCATTAAAATGAAGTCAAATCTTGTCACTCCTGCTCAAAACAACTTAGTGGCTCCCATCTCATGCAGAGAAAAGCCAAAATCCTACAAGGACCTGCACAGCCGGACCTCACCTACTACTTTACCCTCTGCTCCAGGCGGGCTGGTGTGACTTTTCCTAGAACACACACCAGGCTTGTCTTCTCAGGGCCTCCCTACTTGCTGTTGCCTCTGACTGGAATGCTGTCCCTCAAGATATCTGAATGCCCATCGCTCGCTTCCCACTGCATTGCAGCCACACCCCGAGAGTCCCTATCTTCCCGGCTTTATTTTTCTTCTTAGCACTTGTCACTTCCTCACACATCATACAACGTGCTCACTTAGGTCTACTGACCGTTTCCCCGTCAATATTCATGGAGCCAGGAGATAAGCTCTATAAAGCAAGAATTCTTCCATCTGCTTCCTTTACTGCCACATGGATCCCCAGCACTGCAGGCCTTGGCACATGGTAGGTGCTCAATGAATACACACTGAATGAATGAATGATTTAAATTAAAGACACAGACATAAAGTCTTATAAGGTTTTCATAATCATGCTTATTTATGATTCTTCTGGAGCCTCTGCATTAGAGCTCTCTGAATGGAACATCTGGACGGCCCTATGTTTTATCACGTTCAACTGCAAACATGTCTTTGTCTTTCAAATAGAATTTGACTTCAGCACGAGAAAAGTGAAAATCCTGGAGTGTTGTCAGCAATTCACTGAGTCTCTTTCTTTGCTTTCATTTTGGTTTATACTGAAAGTCTGGTCTGGAGAGAGGAGGCTTTTGTGTCCGTCTTGGGGAGGGAGCAGAGAAAGTCTTGGGGGGACTTCAGAAAGACTATTTGGCAACAGAAAGCACTATTCAGAGCTTAGACATGAAACCCCTTCAGGGGCTGAGGGGAAAGCAGAGGAGCTGGACAGAGACGGTGGAATCAGTCATATCGCCCGAGAATGTGGTTCTCGGGATCAAACAACACTGTGGCCCAAAGGAGCTTCCAAGGATCTAAGGAAAGGTGGCATGCCGCATCAGAAATAAAGCTTTTTAGCTGCGATTAAAACTAAAAACAAAAACAAAACCACAACAGAATAGAGATTCCAAAACAACAGAGAGGCAGTGAGCTCTGGAGTCGGGAAGACTGGTTTGAGGTCTGCTCCAGCACCTCCCAGCGCGGGGACGGTGTGGCTCTCAGGGTGGTGGAGTCGTCAACACAAAGCCCCAACCACTGCCCAGCAAACAGTAGGGGCTTGAGGGATGTTAGCTCCTTCCCACCCCGACCTCCGCTGTGTCCCCAGAGCCCGGCACAACGTAAGACACAGAGCGGATGCGCAACAAACATTACGTTAATGAACAAATGCGTCACTTGGGAGCAGTAACTTCTCCGAATGAGCTGTCTCTACCTTCACGCCAGACTTCATGGAATTTGCTTGT